GGTCGCTTCTCGGCTCTCTGAGCTAAGATGGAATTAGTCGCTTCTCGGCTCTCTGAGCTAAGATGGAATTTATTAAATGTTATTAAATGTTAAAAATTATTTTTGAACGTATCCCACACAGCATACTTTATTTGGGATATACTGAGGAATTCTAAATTATCCCAGACTTTTAAATATATTTTTCCTGAAAGATTTGTATATTTAATGCAATAATTAAGATTTCACATAATTACTCTGTAATAATCATATACATATTTGTATTTTTACAGTTTACCATATATAATTAACGATGTACAACTCTGCTGTTGCGAATCGTATCAGTGAGTGATAAATTACTTTTTATTTTTAATTGACGTTGCGCATACAATAACTTCTTTGCATGTATACAAATTCTTTTAGATTCATTGTGAATGAAGATTTGCAATTTAGAAATATACATTTGTATACACTAACTATTGAGGTAAAATCACTAATCTTGGTAATGAGAATTTAAGTAACAACGATTTTTGTTTCGAAACATAGTCTCGATTGAACAGAATTAATCGTTAATTTAATCAATACCAATAAGTCCGCAGAATAATACACAAAACGCAGTAACAGTTACGGAACAAAGTAATGTAAAATATTAAGTACGAAATTTTCCATTGCGTAGGCAGGCCAACGAATTCTCAACGTTTTTTTGGTTTTGTTTTTCACTCGGCGCGGTATTGTACGACGTTACGCGGGCCAATGTTTACCTGAAGGTCGCCGCGATATCACTCGCTCGCCGAACGTCATGCCGGTAAGCAGTGGCGAGAGTCGCTCCGCGCGTAGTATTACTTCTGCGTTATCGGTTTCCAAGACTCGATCGCGATGAATGCAGGGATAAAACACTATTGATTTGCACACCTTCATTAGTAACAAGTAACGTTCCTTGATTAATTACTAAGTTTCTACAACTTGTAACGAGAAACGAATTGCATGTTGAGGCGACGGCTCTTTATCAACGTATACATATTTCACGAGACTAACTCGTCTAAAATTTTAATGTAAACCGTGGTACTTTGTCGCGGTTACATTTCGTTTACGCAGTTTTGTTCAATTTGTTCAATTTTCGGGAAAAGAGGAAATTTGTACGACTTCGGCGTTCGCGTTGTAATTCGTTCTGTCATTCTTCGTAACTCGAATGGACAGGAAGTACAGAAAATCGTTTATTGCACGTCGTCACATTATGAAAATGATCTCGATTAACTGTTGCAATTATTGAATGACAAAGATTGTAAAATATCGTTTTGTTACGGACTAATAACTACTTTACCGCAGATTATGCCTCCGGTGCTCGCGTTGCGTTTTATATCGCCAATTCAAAAGTGTTTTATCCATTATCCTATTCTTCCGAATCAAAAATGCAAATTGTTAGTTTGAGTAATTTGTATGACAAAAAGTCACGCGATATTTGTTAATACTATTTCGTGCATTTCGCGATATTTCACATCGCGTACGGGAGTGTCCGAAATTTCGTGCGATCGATGATTTTTGCGAGTGAGTGTTGTGTGAGTGCCACAAGGAAATCTGAGAATGAGGAGGAGGCCCAGGAGGCCCAGGAGGCATCGGCCAACAGTGGAGAAATCGGTGAGGTGAGTGTCTTACATTTTTATGTTATTTGCTACTTGTGATTCTTAAAAATACACAATGCTCAATCACAAACTGCGCGCGCGAAGCGCGCGTTTTGACATCTCTGGTATTATCAGAATAACGATGTTATTGGAAGACATAAGAATTGAAATTAAAGCGTAATTCTGCAAAATTTATTTAATAAATTATTTTTAATCAGGCGTGTAAGTGGACAAAACTTTTTTAATTCAAGCTTTCGAGAGTGTTACAGATTTATTCTCCCGCCTGGTTATTTTTTTCCGATCAATATATTCTACTATTTCGTGTGTGTTCTTGCTGTTTTTTATTATCTTACCATCGTGTATTTAAGTGAAATATAATTGATAGCTTGTCGATTGATAATGATCTAGTTGCAAGCTTGGATCATGAACAATCGCATGCATTCAATCAAACAAGTCGGGCAAGTGCAATACGTTGGAATGGAAATTTACTTCGTTTGCATGCCGGAAATGTAAAACATGTATGCATCTGAATGATGGCGGTTGAAAGGAGTACAAGTGTACACGGAATAATCACTAGATCGCGTCAATTTAATAATCATTACTTACGAGATGACTTATTATTTCTCCCGTGCTCTTGAACATCAAGGTTCTCACTTTCCGTGATCATAAACAAATTTTTTAAATTATAGACATATATAATTCCATTGCGCTGGGATTTTCCATTCTGATCAACAGCTCGATCTACTTTTTTTACGTAGACGACGTACAATTGAATGTATTTCTTTAAATAGTCATTTAAATGTTTGAATCTGAGGCATCTCTATTCAAGTAGATTCTTTAGTTAAACCATGCATTCTACAAAAATACTGTATCTGTAATGTTGTATCTCTGTACACTATGTAAGTTGTACCGTAGAACGAGAGAGAAAGAACAAAAGGAAGAAACAGTTAAGGATCTACGGAGCTACAGAGCTCACGGAGTGCAAATTTTCTTACAGAATAAACTCCTAGGATTTAGATATTTAAAAAGAACAAGGATGTTTTTAAAACAAATTCGTGCTGTAGCTTGATTGGGATGCTCAGTAAACGAATAACAAAACTGCGCAGAATTACACATAAAGAGACACAGCATCAACGAGACATTTGTTGGTGTGTTGAATGAATTGTGGTTCACAATCCGTCCTTAACTCGAACTGCAACGCAGTGATTTACATATGTAAATCACATGTGCGTGTTCCTGTAAACGGGAGGATATAATAAAATGATTGTGCGGTATTTACTTGTACACGTAGGGCCCAACTTCTTGGAATCGTAGCTTGCTTTCCTCGCCGCTCAGGTATTCGTCGCGATTTGTCACGTTAAACAGGTAGACCTTGAGGTAGATGTCAACCTCGGGTTTTCGCCATAACTCAAAGATCTCACCGCCCTCGCCGAAGGTCACCTTCCACTTGAAAATCATTTCGTAGGGGTTATACAGTAGCACAAGACAGCCGCATATGAGGCTAAGCAGACCGAAAGTCATCAGTATGAAGGTATCTGTGAGCCAAAAAAGGAAAAGACGTTATTTAAGCGGGCGTTAACCAACAATTGTGGAGTCTTATGAAATTATATCGAAGCTATAAACAGCTGCAATCAGATATCCTTCTAACAAGACTGCTTTTACGCTATTATTTCTTGTGTTGCCCTTCTATACACACTCCGATCTTATCGTCAATTTCCTACGCGGTATTACTTTCCATGTAATAGGTTTGAGAGGCTCGATATTTTCGTACTCCTGCATCTTACAAACAGTTCAAAAACATATTTGTATTTGTTACAAATATGTTTTAATTATTAGCAATAGTAGATAACACTCGAAGATATCGAGAGCAAAGACAGGAGACCGTTGCATCTAATCTTGAAGATCGAAGAAGCTATATTTCGTCAAATGTTATAATACAAATTCTATCCTATTTCTGATAAATATAAAATTTCCTTCGTCCAAATACAAGACATTAAATAGTTATAATCAGCGCGACAGGGCAGTTGTGAAATATAATTAATTGTTTCTGCGAAATGATTCATTGGGGCAATGACATTACTGCTCCTAGTACTTTTCTATCTTAATTGCATTTGCAAATTTACGATTTTCAACCGCAGCGTTAATCCTAGCGATTTTGATCGTAGATAAATATGGCTTGCACGAATATTGCAGCAACTTTCGCAGATCTGTTGAGGTTTCGTAATTTATGCTCGCTGAGAGAAATACCCTGCTTTTCTTCGACCGACGAGTCGCGGCATCGTAACTTTTGCAGCAGGCATTATTGCGATATTGGAAATTACAATGGAGGGTCAATCGAGTGAACAAATAATCTTTTGATCGTGCGTGTATTGCGCGATCCCCTCTATAACTTTTCGCCGCGAGGATGAGAAATGGTACCCGACCGTTTACGGCGGTGGGCAACGATGAGTGCAATCAAGCAAGTACTTTGAAACTGAGAGATAGATTTTCCGTTCAGCTATTTTATCTTCAACATAAACGAAGATTGATGTAAATTTGCTCACTTTTGTAATAATCAATATTAGTATAATGTCAATTTATAAAGTCATTAGTCCTTTATAAACTCATACAAGAGCATTTACAAGTAAATTTCACGTACTCTCTAAAGTTTTGGAGCGAAAAAAGCTTTGCATGTTTTTTTTCATTTTTACACGTTTCATACATTTTTCGGATACTATTAAAAAAAAATAAGCTACACGTATGGAAACAAATCGCTCTTTTTAATTTAATAATCTAGTATTCTTTTATATATAATTTTCTGTATTTCATAATCAGAATATAGAATATAAAAATTGTGCGAAACAATTATATTAATTTTTAATTGATTTCTTTTCACAATTTTTATACTACCGTTTCCTGAGAATTAAATATTAATTGAAGAAATTAATTAATATTTCTTGAGTTAAATTAATTAATTATATAATTCCATTAAGTATTTAGTAATTGATACTATTAATTATATTTAATTATTCTTGCCCGATTGTGCGTGTGTTATTTATTGCGTGTGTGTGTCTGTCATTTACACTAACAATAAGATAGGCGTATTACGCAAATCCTTGGAGTATTAAAATTAAAATTTATTACGCAGTCGTCATGCATATCTGCGAATATCTGCGCATTATTGTGTTATCGCATACTTTATCCGGTCCAGGCAAGCGACACGAGGAAAAAACCTTGGACACAGAGGATTGCTTGTTTCGCTTCCGTTATATTCTCGGGCAGGGAGGGCGGTTTGTATTCCTGATTTTTCACCTGAATAATTTGTTCTTTAACGTAGAACCACTCTGTCATCAAGTTTAACGTATGCAATTTATTCGTATGGTTTTCTTTGCCTGACAGCCACGTGGTTATTTTATTTCTTGTTTTTTTGACGTTTACGATTATAGCGTCACCTATACTGCATTATGTATAATGTTATAGCATTACATATCCTTCTCTTAGCTGCTAACAGCCGGAATCTCTTTAACAAATTGATGTTTCTTTAGCGATTTTTCCTTTACTAAAGAATGCAATCTTCTTATTCATTCAATTAAAATTTAATTTAAGAAGACTTGTTTTTCGTTATTAATTACTTATTACTAAAAATGTGGTTACATAAAGAAATTATTTAATCGATTCGATTAACACTATAACTATTTCGTTTTTTTCTTTACGTAGCTCTCGATTGTATCTTTTCTCTAAACGTGATGAAAGAGTTAAGAGCTAATAAAAAAAACTGAGAAATGACCGATCAGATCTGTGTCAAAGACCTCGTCATTGATAAAAATAAATTTGGCGCGTAAGATGACCGTGAGATAATAATTTAGAACGTAACAAGTATAGGAAGTGTGCTAATAAAAGATGAGGACGTGAGAGATTACATTAGCGTCAACGTGAGCGATTGTTATTGCAAAACTCGCAGTTGTTGCGTTGTATGTCGAATCCAAGTGTCCTTGTGCTAATGCTATCGACACGAACGACATATTTTTTTCCCCCGCCGACTCTGAATGCTAATCGGACGTGTATCGCGGCGCCAATCTCTAGTTCCCCGATGCGCTTGATGACATTGTAACAATTAAGTAATCCTCTTATAGATTATGCCCAAGACATACCGATGTCAGTGTCTATTGCGGAAGTGTTAGGTGAGAGATTTATTCACGCGCTCATGTACGAAGGACATGTACGAGCGCTGCTCGATATTTATCACATAATCAAGGATTATCTCGTTGCGCGCGCTTCCCACGAACTTCCTATTTCCACACAAACGATCCGCAGATTTTAATAGATACGATCGCAAACAATCGAATATAAAAAAAAAATGTCTGCAACGGAGCAAGCTCTTTGAAATTAATGCGCATTATGCTAAAATATATTAGTCGCATAAACAGACGCATGTGTATACCGAGCAAGCTCTATGAAAAAATATTTTTTTTATCTGAATAACATCAAATTATTTGACGTGATTAAATAATCGTTATTTCAGTTAATTTCAATTTTAATCTTAAGATTTATATATTAATCCTTCAACAGTTGTAACAGTTAAGCGAGAAGTCAGAGAGTTCCTCCCTCGACGTGCTAGTCTGCGTTCGACGGATATATTTGTGCAAGTCACAACTGAAAATTGCGATTAAAAAGCGAAAGTTAAATTTAGCGCAGTACAATTAAGCTGTAAATGTCCACGTGTTCGCGCGTATGTCATGTTGCCATAGTTGTCCAGGTCATAGAAAAGGCGTTCTGCTCTCGCCTATTGCAAGATTGCTGGCAACGTACAGGGGCTCTGTCGTAATAATTTTCCGGTCGGGACGAGACTGCAAATGCATGATCAAATAGAAAGTGCATAGTTACTCGGCATGTTCCTCTATTCTACATTGTTTTACACTTAGCACGTACCGCGTACAGTAGTCACGTCCTTAAGTGTCAGACACGGCTCGTATCAGTACGAGGGAACTTTTATCAACTTCTCGTATCGATGACAAATTTGACACGAAGCATTTATCGGGGGAAAACATGTGACGATCGATCGATCCAATGGAAATAGTCAAGCCGGCAGTTCGTAAATGTCACTTTCTAATCTGTAATTATCTATCACTTATCTAGCGGTCAAGAATAAATAACAAGTATATAAATAAGGTAATGGCTCTGAGCAATTCCCCCGCCGGTTCGCAATGACGTTTTGATTTTGCGTAATGTAAGTAGTTGCCGGCAGTTTAATCCCTCGCGGTTTTCACTGCGACGAGACATAATCTGACAAAGAGAGCTTACGGGGTGTCCCGACCTTGATGAGTTTTTAATCTACTGTTTCCTAGGCAAAAATAAGGGACGCGCATTGTTTTACGCGGACCCATACGCATGTTTAGGGGGTAAAACAACCGCGCATACAGAGGCGTTTTCAATTACTTCTCAACGAGCTTTCCGAACGTAACTTTATCATATACAACTTATCATGATTAAATTCATTTAAAAGAAACATTTCATTTAGTGATAGAAAAATTAAAAATGTTAAAAAGACTTTAAAAAGACATGTCCCTTCTTCTTGTCTAGAAAGCAACATATCAAAAACTCATCAAGATCGAAGGGGGGAGGGGAAGGAGGACACCTCCTAAGGTTCCCTTGTGAGAAGGCGACGCGAGTTTCTCCCGTACGTTTTAGCCTCCGTTTGGATCGCGTTGCCATTTGCAATGCGAAATCAAATTGTTAATTCTACGGAGTTAGTTGTCCGCCGGATTTTACTGCGGTCGATTTTATTTGCGCGGTTTTGCGGCAAAGCCGACTGTTTAACTGGTCCGACCGCGTTCCGTTTATCTCGCATTCCTACGCCGGGTAACAGTCCTCGTCATCACTGTCTCGATCGCATTTTTGTCAGCATTCTTCATTCCGCGACGGGCCCTTATGTAACCCCAATAAATCCGCAAGTAGCGGTACCGCAATAGTAGTATATGCGCGAGCGCCGTTTGCATAACTGGCACTTGCTGACTGTTTTAACAGTGTCAACTTCTATCTTACGAGAGTGTCACCAATATTGATTTACGCGTTTACCGACCTACACGTGTACTCTTCTCTCGGAGTGTCAGCTTGTCCTACTTCCGTAAAAAAGGCAAAGAAAGAAATCGTGTTCTTTGTATTCAATAAAGCAAGACACTGATACGATTATGTATTTTCGATGTGGTATCATGCAAATAGTGGAACATCTCGCGGCATTTACCTATTTGTTTAATTATTTCCGGCAATTTTTCAACGCAACGCTGTGTTTCTTTTTAATTGGTTAACTCGATCGTTAAGCGGTATCGCACACGCGACTTTTTAATTTGTGGTTTCCACGGCGCATTGTTATATCTAATTGTAAATAAAATGGTCGTGGAATCAACAAATTGGTTTTTATGTGTGGTAAGTGCCCACACATTCGCACACGTGTGTTTAAACGACGAAGCCACGATCTGGAAATTTCTACTGGACATTTTGCCAACGCTTTATAACGAAACCGGTTCTCTGGCTGATCCTTTTTTGTTCTTGAAAGTTT